TGGACTTCGTGCCGAACCACAGCAGCGACGAGCACGAGTGGTTCGTCAAGTCCAGGCGGAAGGAGGAGCCGTACACGGACTACTACATCTGGGCGGACCCGAAGGGCTTCGACGAGGAGGGCCAGCCCATCCCGCCCAACAACTGGGTAAGCCGTGGACATTTTTACAGTGAGACTAGCCATGGTTCTTCAGAGTTCGGGAAAAGTCACGTTTCTTCATGTTCCATAAAGATCTATTGAATTTGAATTAGATATATGAATAATAATTGTATGTACGGAAAAAGAGGAAAGGTACAGACAGGGTCAAGTAAAAACATCTCTAGAACTTGGGTGCAAACACTGCTGCCCAGAATTCCATAGATGTTTAACAGAGTTGTAAGAGCAAAGCATAACACCAGTTTCATGCGCACTAACATTAAAAAAAGTTTCAGTAGCACGGACAAAACCAAAAGAATCCTTTTTACTGCAAGAACTAGTTGGTTCCGACGCGAAGAAAGCTCGGTGGGATAAGTGGGCTGATCCTTCCAGCTGAGCGTGTTCCGGGGGCCGGCGTGGACGTGGGCGGAGGAGCGGCAGCAGTTCTACTTCCACCAGTTCCTGGCCAAACAGCCCGACCTGAACTTCCGGAACCAGCGAGTGCGGGACGAGATGAAGGTACGAGGAAAAGATGAAACCTTGATTGATTATTTACAATTGCGGAATTTTTCTCTACAACCTACACGTGCTGCGTGTGAAGAAATGCAACTGGAAATAAATAGATATCATTGTTTTATTTTTAACAGGGAGGGAGATTAAATAAGCCTCAAATTAACCACGTGACAAGTGCTTTGAGTAACTCTTCTATGATTACAAAGTATTAAAGAATAATGATAGTACCGTGTGTCATGATCCCTAATATTTACAGAACATACTCAAATTCTGGTTGGACAAAGGCATTGACGGTTTCCGAATAGATGCCATAAAACACCTGTTCGAAGTGGCAGGTGAGTTAAGCATACAAGAAATGCTTCTCCTTTAAAAAAAATAGCTTTAACAGGTTACAAAATTTGCGTTTCGTCCCTTATCATTATTTTTTTCCCTTTTATGCAATGTGTATATATTATAATCAAGGTTTATAATCTGCCTACAGATGCCTGTCATGCTCAAGACAATTTTCTTCTTTGAGATATATTAGTCTAGAACTGTAGATGAAGTGCTGCTAACCCTTTTCCATGAACAAGACCACTGAACGTCCTTAAGCTGGAGGCGCGTTATAATCTGTCCTTTTAACCAATTGCTTTTTTCTTTCCTTCCTCGTTCTTATCTTGCGCAAAATTTGTCCTATTAACTACCTGTTTTCATTCCTCCTTATCCCACGCAAGATTTGTCCTTCTTATAACACACTTCCATTTTTCCTTCCTTTTATAGTATCCAACCACCTTCTCCCTTTTTCTTCCCTCTTTTATTTGTTTATTTTTTATTTATTTATTTATTTATTTTTTTTCTATCTCACGCAAGACTTGAGCCAAGACGAACCCGTCGCGAAGAATTCAGGCGTGGAGGACCCCCTGGACTACGGCCACCTCAGTCACCCGTTCACAGTCAACCAGCCAGAGACCTTCGAAGTGGTCAAGGAGTGGAGGGACATCATGGACCAGTATCCTGAAAAGTGGGTGGATGATGAGGATGGTGATGATGATAATGGTGAGGGTGATGATGGTGAGAGTGACGATGGTGAGTGATGATGGTGAGAATGATGATAGTGAGAGTGATGATGGTGAGAGTGGTGATGGTGAGAGATGATGGTGAGAGTTATGATGGTGAGAGTGATGGTGAGAATGATGGTGGTGAGAATGATGGTGGTGAGAGATGATGGTGAGAGTGACGATGGTGAGAGATGATAGTGAGAGTGATGATGGTGAGAGTGACGGTGGTGATGGCGAAGGCTGCAGTGGTGATTTTTTTTGAGAGAATGGTGGTAGAAGCATAATGGTGATGAAAGGGAAATTTGGTGAATTTTGCGAGGATAGTGATAGGAAGGATAATAATGATTATGATGGAGATGGGGATTTCTGCGATGGTGATGATAATATGGAAAGAAATAATGAATGGTGATTGACATTAACATTATGGTGGATATTATTAATAGGAATGGTAGGTTACCACAAGAATTATAATAATGAGTCATGTTCAGTCCCACAGCACTAGATGCTCTATGAACTATGTGTAGTCCCTCAATTAAACTGATAATAATAACATTTTTAAGTAATCACCGTTCACTCAGAAGAATTTACTGACAAAAGTACTCGCTTAGGCTAATGATGGTCGAGATGTGGGACGGAGACATCGGCGAGGTGATGAAGTACTACGGCAGCGACAGCGTCCCCCTGGCGGACTTCCCGTTCAACTTCCTGCTGATCGACAGGTTCCGCAACAGGAGCGACCTGAGCGGCGCCGCCCTCAAGGACGCCCTCGACCTGTGGATGGACAACATGCCGGAGGGGAAGTGGCCCAACTGGGTGGTGGGTTTCTTGGGAAACGTTTGTATGAACCCGCCTGGGTGGAGGGTTTCACGGGAAACGTTTATAAGCCTAACTGGGTGGTGGGTTTCTTGGGAAACGTTTATGAGCTCAAATGGGTAGAGGGTTTCACGGGAAACGTTTGTACGAGCCTGCCAGGGTAGGTTTCTCGGGAAACGATTTTAGACTCAAATGGATGGTGGGTTTCATGGGAAAAGTTTGTACGAACCCACCTGGATGGAGGGTTTCACGGGGGAAAAGAGAGAAAAAGAAAGTATATAATCTAATTGTTTTATAATATTCTGTTATACGGGTTATTCTTGTTATTATTATTATTGTTATCATCATTATTATTATCACTTGTATCACCTTTTTATTAGTGGTTTATATTTCTTTTCTGTTTTTGCCCAGCTCGGCAACCACGACAACGGGCGCGTGGGGTCCCGCTTCGGCGAGGACCTGGTCGACGCGCTCAACATGCTGATTCTTCTGCTGCCGGGGACGCCCGTCACCTACTACGGGGAGGAGATGGGTGAGGACTCTGCGCCAGGGTTTTCTTTCTCTTTCTTATTTTTCTCTCTTTCGCTGTCTCTCTCTCTCTCTCTCTCTCTCTCTCTCTCTCTCTCGCTCTCTCTCTCTCTCTCTGAATGTGTGTGTGTGTGTGTGTGTGTGTGTGTGTGTGTGTGTGTGTGTGTGTGTGTGTGTGTGTGTGTGTGTGTGTGTGTATGTGCGTGAGCGTGTGCTTGTATATTAGGTAACTAAGGACGTATAGTGTATATGGATTGTACACATATAAAGTATAACCTTGGTATATCCTTGAATGAAGAAATCCATTATATGTACAAGGCATTCACTCATGTAGCTAGGTGTATAAAAACAAATCTGAGAGTCATTAGTTGTATTTCAACATAACAAGTTTGTTGTCCACATTGAATAAGATCGCTTTAGAAAAAACAACATAATGGAATTAGGTTTGGGTGCCCTCAGCTCCTTAGTACTTTTACCTGATGGGGGATTGATTTTGTCTTAAATTCGGGCATAATTAAACTGCATTGATTATAGGAATCTTTTTATATTATATATGATGGAAGAATGTAACGTTAGTAAACCATGGAAGGAAAGACATATGTTGCACAGTTAAAGTGTGCACTTCATTACTTTTTTTTTCTTTTTTACTTTTTGTTTAGGAATAAGGATCAAAGGGGTTTTGCGTTCTTGTCGGCCTCGCTTTGGTCTACGTTTCGGATAAAAATCGCTAATTTTATTCCACTAAAACCGTCCATATCTGTTTTTAGGTATGGTAGACGCCGCTGTGTCGTGGGAGGAGACGCAGGATCCCCAAGGGCGACACTACGGGCGTGAAAAGTACTTGGAACACAGCAGAGATCCAGCGAGGACGCCCATGCAGTGGGACAGCACAGCCTTTGCTGGTAACGCTCTTTCTTTATTATAAAATAGTCTGAATACCTCTATAGCGCAATAAACCGTCGCATTATAGAGTAAAGTAGTAACGCCGTCTACCCTTTTTCAGGTTTTACAAGAGGGAAGAGTACATGGCTGCCAGTGAATAAGAACTACAAGACCCTCAACGTCCAGGCTCAGTCACGGGCAGACACGAGCCACTTAAAGATATACAAAGAACTTGCTCGATTAAGAAAGCGGGAGCCCTTTGCAGGAGGACGGACTGCCTATCCCGTGGTCACCCGAGAAGTATTTTCGGTTTTGCGGTAAGATTTGGTCGGAAACAACGACAACGTTATACTCGGTGAGGTTTTCCTGTGGATTCTCCCCTTCCCTCCCTCTGGTGTTCTATCTTGATAATCGATTTGGCTTTATTCCCTCGCATTTAATTTTATTTCACAGAAGGATATATATTGATAGCTACCTGCCTTCAAAGCTCTTCCACTTTATCATAACTCCGATCTCTTAACATCCTTCTAGATACCTTGAAGGCTACGAGAGCTACCTGCTGGTGATCAACACGTCGGAGGAGGAACTGGAGGTCGACCTCCACCAGCACGCCAACATGGAGCTTCCGCCGGCGGCCGAGGTCGTCCTGCGCTCAGTCACAGATGCTTCGGAGGCGACCGTCCCGGGGTGAGCGGCCAGAGCGTGGGTTGGATATTTAAGTAGATAACTCCCTCATTTACATTAAGTAATATTTGGGGCATGAGAATTGACTGATGAGTTAATTTTCTGCCGCGACGAAATCTAACGTCGTTTGGGTCCGGGATTGGGAGCCAGAGGTTGTATATTTTGCGTATCATACATGAGGGGTTACCGTTTCATGCAGATTCAACGTTTTTCCTGATTTAACTTTACATTTGCAAACGTTTTGGTAGAAGTGTACATTTTCGTAAAGATTTGGACGTCTCTCTCTGAATAGTTTTTGTAGCACATTCTATGAATTGACTTGGATAGAAAATGGATTTATCCTTTTGATTTTCTTTTAAACATGGTAGTATTTTGGAATTCATACATGTATGAAAAGCATACGAGCATT